CCTACCCCCAGGACTCCGGCTTCCTAAATGCCAACTTCAAGGTCATGTCACAAAGTCATGGCATTCCTTTAATTCTCTGACTGAAGATCTCTGAATGGCTCTCAGCACGTCTGACATATTACTGCAAGTGTCCCTGGGTACTGCGACGGAGGAGACCGGCGGGGCGTTAGGGTGGGCTGTTGGGGTCCACCACAAGGGGTCACATGGGCTCAATACACTCCAGTGTCAAGCAGAGGAAGCTGCACAGAGAGGTAGCCAAGTTCTAGGAACCCATATCCAAAACAAGTAAGCAAAGTGTGAAAACCGATTGTACTCAAAAGAAGATCATACTAAGGACAGAAAATCTGAATTTCACAGTAGACTCCAAAAGAAGGCTCTGCTCATTATTTTCTTAGTAAGTTTTTAATCTTAAAAGGATCTGTAAATTAGTGAGATCATCTTGAGGTTTTGTTTTGGTTTGGTTTGGTTTGTTTGTTTTCCTCAAAAGCTACTATGGACTTAACCTATACTCTGTAGCCTTCAAAATTCATGTTTTAGGGGCTGGCGCTGTGGCATTGAAGGTTAAGTCTCTGCCTGCAGTGCCAGCATCCCATATGGGCACCGGTTCAAGTCCCAGCTGCTCCACTTCTGATCCAGCTCCCTGCTAATGCACCTGGGAAAGCAGCAGAGGATGGCCCAAGTTCCTGGGCCCCTGCACCCATGTAGGAGACCTGGAAGAAGCTCCTGGATCCTGGCTTCAGCCCAGTGCAGCCCCACTTTTACAACCATTTGGGGAGTGAACCAGAGGATGGAAGATTTCTCTCTCTCTCTCTCTCTCTACTCTCTACTTCTGCCTTTCAAATAAACAAATAAATCTTTAAAAAGAAAATCATGTTTTAGAGGCAGGCACTGTGACACAGCTGTCAGCCACGGTTGTGGAAGTGCCTGGGATAGAATTCGCCTCTGCTTCTGATCCAGCTTCCTGCCAGTGCTCACCCTGGGAGGCGGCAGGTGCTGACCCAGGTACTGGGGTTGTTGCCACCCACATAGGAGCCCAGATGGAGGTCCCAGCTCCTAGCTTTGGGCTGATCCAGACCTAGCTGTTGTGGACATTAGACAGCACCAGCGAACAGAAGACCTCTGCCCCACTCTGTCACACTGCCTTTCAAATTAAAAAAGAAAAAACCCATGTTTGATATCACAGCGCCTGGGTTTGAGTGTGGGCTCCTAACCTGAGCACAGCTCCCTGCAAATGCAGAACCCAGGAGGCAGCAGGTGAGAGCCCAGGTGGTTGGGCTCCTGCCACCCACAGGGGAGACCTGGACTGCATGTCCTCCTCCTGGCTGCGCCTGGCCCAGGCTTGACAGTTGTGAGCATCTGGGGAGTGAATCAGTAAACAGAATCTCTGTCTCCATCTGTGTGCCCCTCTTCCTTTCAAATAAATGAAAATTTAAAAAAAAAATTTAAATCAAGTTTTAAAATATTACACATTACCATAAGTACGTATTATAAAAATTTGTTTAAAAGCAGGTGAAGTGATATGGCAGTACTGTTTCAAATTCATAAACTATTTTCATACACATAAACAGAGCCAAAGAACCGGAAGGAAATAAAAAAACGTTAACCAATTCCATCTCCCTGGCTGTTCAGATGGATGGTAGATGGATGCTTTATATTTTATCTGTCCAAAGTCTAAACCTGTTATACTCAGAAAAAAATTGAAAATTTGTTATGAATCTGCCACTGCTTATTTAAAATGACTGAGTAACCCAAGGAACAGAAACCAAAAGCTGGGGTGGGGGACATTAAGTTTCTCTGTTCTGTTCAAAACCAGCTACAGTGAAGAGGAAGTAGGACACTTGGCGGGGGAGGAATACATTGAGTAATGACACGGGGATGAACCGACACAGGCAAAGATTTTTACATAACACAGGCAAGACGGGGTGGTCAGAACACGGAGGCTGGGTTTTCTCACAAGGTCTGGGGACAAATCCTCCCAAGCTGGGTGAGCTTCTCTCGCAATGCTTCACTGAGCAGGACAGCGTGAGTGAGACACGCTCTGAAGGCTAATCCGTCACGTCCCCAGGGACTTGATCAGTGCACCTGCAGAGAAAACTTGTATCGAGAAGGGGGAAGGGTCTGCATAACGCGCACGCGTCACTCGGGAGACGCGCTGTCTTGTTCCTCCTCTGCTCGCAGCGCGAGAGACGGCACTGAATGAGGACTTGGGCTCAGCAAAGCTCATTTCTTAGGGAGGATGACAAGGGTGACAGGAAGTGGATGGAAAACACCTGTTCAGGGCCAGCCTTGTGGCTCAGCAGGCAGAGTGTGTACCAGAGTCCCGGCTGCTACACTTTCAATCCTGCTCCCTGTTAATGCGCAAGGGAAAGCAGCGAAAAGATGGCCCAAGTGCTCGGGCCCCTGCAACACGTCCAAGACCTGGATGGAGTTCCCGGCTTCTGGCTTCGGTCTGGGCCAGCCCTGGCTATTGAGGCCGTTTGGAGAGGGAACCAGCAGATGAAGATCCCTCTCTCTAACTTTGCCTTTCAAATAAATAAGTAAATCTTAAAATAAAATACAAAACCCTGTTCAATGAAGTGACTAAACCGTAGATGGTAAATCTGAGACTCAGGCTTGAAATCTACAAAGATTTGCATCTGCAAAATACTTACATTTATGAAATGGTTGTTTCTAGTGCTTGCTTTTTTTCAGGGTAATTACCCAGGATCCTGAACACATTTCCACTTGGAAGAAACTGCTCGCCTGTACTCATACCCTGCAAGGCCTCCTGAGCCCTGGCCTCTTCTTAGAGGTCTCTCTCATTTACCACTATTGTATGCACATTCCTGGCTGGAGCCGAGAGGCACCTCAGAGCCACCAGGAGCTTGGATTCTGCCCCCACACTGGTCCCCAGAGGGCCCTTCTGTCCCAGCGCCCACCAGCCAGCCACCTGTGCAAGATGAAATGTCTTCACTTCTGCTCTGTTCTCTGCAAGTCCCAAGAACTCCACATCCAAGATGGACCTCCGCTTCCCCATCCCGACGTCACCCCTCTCCTGGGCACGGCAGCAGCCTCCCCCCTGGCCTCCGGGCTGCTCTGCTGTGCACCGAGCACACACTGCCACATCCTCACGGCCCTGGCTCCTGCCTGTCCCTCACCCTCACTCCCCACACTCCTTTCTCCCCCCTCCACCCCTGATCCCTCTTCCATCTGCACGGTGGGTCTTCCTGCTGATGGGAAAGCAGCTTGGAAACAGGTAGCCAGAGAATTTAAATCGCGTATTCCTTGATTCAGTAATCTCATTTCCATATGAAGGTACGCCAAAAACTCAAGGAAAAGGGAAATTAAGATTACTTTGCCCCCCCCCCAAATAAAATCCACGCATAGTCTTTCCATAATGCACACTTTTCATGAATTCCTTGAAAACCTCCTCCTGTGATCTGTAACGATGACAGACAGAAGAATACCCAAGACACCGAACTTCGGAGCCACAGTGCAGGTAGGCGAGGGAGGCAGCGCAGGGGCCATGAGGCAGCAGGAAGCAGGAGCGTCCTCTCCACTCCCTGAGCACAGGCCAGGCCTAAACAGAACTCTCCTCCTTCATGGCTGGGCTTCACCTCGCCTCTCACACCGGGTTCAGCTACCAGCTTCAAAAGCAAACACAGGGCGGAAAAGCAGTCCCCGCTTAAATCCTGCCATCAGGGGCACTGAGCCTGGCTTGAAAACTGCCGTCTATCATCAAGACAGTGCTCCAAAGCCAAGGCTCCCGGGGTCTGCAATCAGTGGAGAAGCACCCCCAGGCCTGCGGCGCAGCCTGCTACAGGTGCAGGAAGGGAGCCTGACACGCGGCAGAGCCCCCACTCTGCCATGAGCGGAGACAACCACGCTTTCCCAAGGTCAGCAATGTCCCTCCTAAGAAGCCGCCTCATCTGCATGCCGGCTTCCCACAGCAGCCCTCCAGGACGGGCCAATCATGCTGCAGAAAAACCTGTCTGGGGCCACAGGGCACGGCTGCTCTTTCCTCAATCCTCACCCCAGGGGGACGGAGAAAACTTAAAAGGTCTCAACCTGGCCTGAGGAACTGCAAGATGACACTGGGAATAAAATCGTGTTCATTTACGCTCTACTAATTCAGAATTATTTTATGATCTGCAAAGAGTCCGGACTCACGTTTCCATTTTTAGACCCTATGACAACAGGCTGAGGAGGAGGCTCAACCTACTTATGGCAACACATTTCAGAAGCTCTGACTCATGGGTAAACAACCAAGCTAACCGTGCTAATAGTTTATCTGTTGGTTAAACTGAATACCTCTGTCTGGATTGCTCCCTGCAGGCCCTCTAAGAACCAGAACCAGCGAGAAACACCTAACAAGCTCCGTGTCGAACTCTTCCACTGCAAGCCGAGGACGGCCCCCAGAGAAGCCGAGAAACAAACGCTGGCACCAACTCCTTCACACAGGGACGCTCCCATGGCCAAGAGTCTCCGGAACCAGCGAGGAACCAGCACCTCCCTGCCCTTCGCGTCCCTGCAATGTGGCACCCGACCAAACGGCAGCTCCCGGTGGCCAGTGGCCGGCCCTCAGACAGGGAGCGCCACTGGGGGTGGGCCTGGGGGCTGCAGCCCCCACGTCACTGAGATGCTCGCCACAGGGTGGGGGGGCGTGGGGCTCAGGGGCCCTGCCTTCTCAAGTCCCTCGGGCTCATTCTGCCTAAGACCAGTAGCCCCAGATTCCTAATACATCTCGGGATATTCCTGCTATTGTAGAAGCAACAACTCCAACAACGCAACCCCCTCCACACACACACACACACACCCCTTGTTTAAACCAGGATACTTCCAAAAGTTTGTGGAAAAGTTTATTGCGGCACCCCTCCCCCCAAAATTGAAATTCTGAATTCAATGCATGGTTTTCCTTAACGTGCATTTTCCATGGACTGCCTGAATCCACCTCATGTACTTTTGCACCAATGTTTCCCCACAAACACTCTGATGTTCCCCTCACATCCCTACAACCCTACCTGCGGTAGAGAAGAAAACGGTCCTCCACGGAAAGGCAGGTTCAAGGTCCCGCATCGGTTATGAAAAAGTATCGTCTCCAGCGCCCCAGAGAAACTGTCCACAATGGGCTATTTGGCTGACGCTTTTCCCCTTGCACAAGGTACTTTTGATTTTCTCTAAGAAAATTAACTGGAATTGTTTCTGTTTTCCAAAGCTCGACGCAGTCAGTTATTTGTCACTTGTCACGGTTAGGGAACAATCCGGGTATGTAAGTCAGAATTTCCAGGTATTCTCGTGTTATCCTTGGAGGCACTTAAATCTCCCTTCCTGGAGGAAATATTTCTAACTGTTTCCATTCTTAGTAAAAGAAAAAAAATGCACAATAAAGCTTACAGAGCAGGGAGTAGACAGCTGAACTGGAGTGAAAAACCTTCCCAATGCAGAGAGCAAGCAGAGGGGGCGGCCCGTTAGGAGGCAGGGCAGGTAAGAGCACCCCACATTCTGGCTCAAGGCAGTGGGTGGGGTCACGGGGCCCCTGGTGGTGCCCAGGTGGGGCGGTGGTGGGTTCCTGCCTGCATACTGGCCCTGCAGTATCTGCCCAAACGGGCTCAAGGAGGAGATCACCCCACTTCCTGTAAACATCCCCACACCACCACCTCCAACCTCCGCCAGCCACTCTGCTCCCTGCCACTGCTGTGGCACACCTGTTCCCTTGCCTTTTCTTGGTGACCTTAGTGTCAGCACCTTAGGGAGTGTGCAGGCCTCTTGGGGGTTTATATCTGAGGACAGAAGGTGGTGACCCAATGCAAACACAGCTCCACAAATGTGCCAAGCTGGCTACATTGGACCAAAACCCTCAGTGCCGTCTTCACCCTGACTGCGCTAAGTGGAACCATGCCATACACCTGCAATGCAAGTTTCAATGAATCCTGGACCCAGTGCAGAGGGGAGCTTCTGTCACTCCTCTGAGAACCAGCAGCCCTTTTTCAAGTATGAGGAATGGGAGGCATTAAGGAAGCCTTGACAGGGAGGGTGGTATGGGAACAGGGTCAGCCAGACTCGGACGCACGCACAGAGCAAAGCAGTGTGGGCACTGGCAGTTCATCTTGGCTGCAGCAAAGTGGGGGAGTGGACCGGAGCCGTGCTCCACCTGAACACCAGGATTTGGGACACTTCCACATGACGATTTCCTCTTAATCGCTGGTTTCCACCATTTCTCAGTGCTCAACTAATGACTAAGGGAGGACCTTGAAATTTCAAGGTTCTACTTCCTACGTGTTTTCTATTCTTACTTGATACCAATTAACTTGATCATTGTCAGCTCCCTCTCCCCGATGACACAGCCCAAGTCCCTATCAGCAGCTTCTTGTTCTCCTTTCTCCCCCACCTCCACTGCCACCCTCCCCAAATGCATGCAATGAAGAGATGGCCAGGCAGGCGAGCGCGTGCACACACACACACACACACACACCCCCTGTGGTCCAAACAGCCTACACTACTTATGATGACATAACAAACGTTCAAATATTTACACCAGAAACATGTCTCCTAAATATAACTTGCATGATTTTGAGAAAGGGCAAATATTTTTGTTCAACTGACAAGACCCACTGTTAATTAACCCCTGTTCCTCCGGGCTCGTGAACCACAGACCAGCAGGGACGCTAGCTCAGGGCCTCACCGCTCACACACCTACTGACTCACCACGGGAAAAGGACTAGCTGGGAGCTGGTGACCAGAAGTACCACATGACTCCCAGAGGAATTCATTAAAAGAACTAAGGGTGGGGCAGGCATCGGTGCAGCAGTTACGTTACCCCTGGGGATACGCACACCCCCTAACAGAGTGCCGGGCCTGGGTGCTGGCTCCTCCTCCTAATGCACACCCTGGAAGGCGGCCAGTGGCTCAAGTACTTGAGTCCCTGCCACCTGTACGGGAGACCCAGATTGAGTTCTGAGCTCCTCACTTTGGCCTGATCCAGCTCTGGGTGTTGTAGGCATCTGAGAAGTGAACCAGGGAACTCTGTCACTGGCTGCCTTTCAAATAAAAACAAAGTATGTGAAAATATGGCAATTAACATTTCAAAGGAAGTAATGCTCTCCATAGTAGGGACCACAAAGACGCCATAATGAGGAGGACTCCTTAACAGATTCTATGCTATTTACCATCCTTGCTGGATCTCCTAACGCTTTGTGGTTACTGATAACGTAGAATTTATTCCCTGAGTTTCACTCTCTATCCAAGAATCATAAAGATACTTGCTGGTGGCCTCCGGGTTATCTGCACCTGACACACACTCTACTTCACCACTGGTACGATGCTGAGTTCTTCTCCTTCCTACCTTTGGTTTTTAATCTAATTTTTTTTTTCTCTTCATTGTTTCCTGTCAGATGTGAGAGTTGGAGGGTTTCATTTTGTTTGGCCAATCATTACACCTCTCCCCTAGTGCACCAAAATACAGTAACTTCCACCTCCTTTTCAGCCATTTACAAATGCAATCCTCAGAAAGATGTACAAAAGTTACAAAAATGTTTCATGTAGGAAGCACCTAATGCGATGGAAATTACGGAAATTCTAACTCCAGTTTAGCAAGACCAACTAAATTTCTGAAACATGGGTGATCCCTGAACATCAGGGCTTCTCACCAAACAGCACAGTGACAAGTATCTACAACGTGACATCTGTCCGGGCATCTGCTCCTTCACTTGAGAGGAGCAATCCCACAAAAACTGTCCAGTGAAAACGTCACGGTTTCTAGTGGACTGAGAGCATCAAAGTCAAGGAACTTCCTGCAGTGCTTTTTATTTATTTTATTTTTATTTATTTATTTTTTGACAGGCAGAGTGGACGGTGAGAGAGAGAGACAGAGAGAAAGGTCTTCCTTTTGCCGTTGGTTCACCCTCCAATGGCCGCCACAGCCGGCGCACCGCGCTGATCCGAAGGCAGGAGCCAGGTGCTTCTCCTGGTCTCCCATGGGGTGCAGGGCCCAAGCACTTGGGCCATCCTCCACTGCACTCCCGGGCCACAGCAGAGAGCTGGCCTGGAAGAGGGGCAACCGGGACAGAATCCGGCGCCCCGACCGGGACTAGAACCCGGTGTGCTGGCGCCGCAAGGCGGAGGATTAGCCTAGTGAGCCGCGGCGCCGGCCTGCAGTGCTTTTTATGTTCCACATGAGCATCTTCCCAGGTAGAGCAAAAACAAAGCAAATGCCGACTGGGAATGAGCGAGTCACCACTCACTGTCGAGTCAATGTCTAAGCGCCCACAAAGTGAAGCAGCACTGGATACCAGGACAACCCAACAATAAAGTCAGCTTGGCTTCTGAATTCAACAGAGGTTGGATTTCTATTGTAAGTCGTTCTATAAAACTAATTACTTTCTGTGGCTAGCAGCAATAGCTTTTACACAGCAGCCTGTTTGAACTGGATTCCCCTAGACCAGGCTGGTTAAGATTAACCAGTATACACCTTAAAATGGAAACGTTTCTCTAGTTAATTGTGCATTATAAATTTCAGTACATGGTTGTGTGTTTCAAATGCTCCAAGTTTTTAGGGTCTGATTCACTCATCTCCGACAGCCTGGCAGGATTTAATTTATCTCAGACATCAATGACCACATGGAGAATTTCATTGGATTATATAAAAAGAATTCACAGAATGTTTTTTACAAGTCACGGTTATTTTAACATTTACTAATTTGGGTGCAGCTACCACAGCTTAGGAGAAAAGACTCATCTGTTTCTTAGCATAAAAGCCATCTTTGGGGGTGGCTCTTTGGCATGGCAGTGAAGACGCTGCTTGGATGTCCGCATCCCACACTGCAGTGCCTGGTTCAAGTCCCGGCTCCTCCGCTTCTGAGCCAGCTTCCTGCTAACGCACCTCGTGGGAGGCATCCAGTAATGGCTCCAGTACTTGGATCCCTGCCACGCAGGTGCCAGACCCGGACTGAGCTCCAGGCCTCACTAGAGTGGGCATTTGAGGAATGAACCAGTATAAGGAAGATGTCTCTCTCTCTTTTTTTTTTTTAAGAAATTTTAAAAAAAAGCTGGGGTCAGTGTTGCAGATTAGTGGGTTCTGCCACTGCGATGTTGACATCCCACATCAGCGCCAATTCAAGTCTGGGCTGCTCTACTTCTGGTCTAGCTCCCTGCTCATGTGCCTAGGAAAGCAGTGGAAAATGGCCCAAGTGCTTGGGCCCCTACCACCTATATGGGAGACCCAGTTGAAGCTCCTTGTTCTTGGTTCCGGCTGGGCCCAGGCCTGGCTGTTATGGCCATTTGGGGAGTGAACCAGTGAATGGAAAGGCTCTCGTTCTTGCTCTCTGAAACTGCCTTTCAAAAAAAAAAAAAAAAAAAAAAAAAAAAGGACCAATCTTTTTAAAAAAAAAATGTTTAATTGTGTCTTTAAAAAATCCTCCCATCTTGTACATTTACCAACAAAATATATTACTGTCCTAAAACTTTTGCTATGGAATATTATACCTCATCACTGCATCTGTGTGTACTCAGGTTATTACTGCCCCTTCCAAAACTGAAATCTAAGAGACTGGAAATAATAAACCCAACAATGAAGCATTTCATTTTTATTATCACAAGGATTTCAGCACTTGCAGTCGCTTCAGCTGCCATATTAGTCTGTGGTTAACTTAAGGGGTAATTTACAATTAAGCTTTTACGTATGCGTTCAGGCCCAGCGCCACATATTCCTACACGTGTGTGTGTGCGCGCGTGTGAGCACACACACACACACGCGCGCGGGCCTCACGGCAGCTGAATGCATTCAGACCCAGTGCCACATAATCCTACACACACACACACACACACACACACGGGACTCACATCGGCCGTGAAGAAATAGAACAGAGAACCCTGATATGGTGGCACGTCTGCTAGAGGCCATTCTCTGCTAAGAACATGCTCCATCCAACGAAATCCACGAGGAATGCACTAATTAGCAGGAACTGAGTCATGCAATAAACAGAGCAAGGGCACCTGCCAAACGAGAGGCACATGACGCTTCACCGATCAATCCACAAGGAAGAAGCTGCATGGAACGTTTGGAGCAGGAACGGGAGGCAGTGCTACCCAGCAGTGACCCCAGCTCCAAGGAGACCCACGCTGAGCCCCTCCAAGGGGAGGTCGGGGGACCCGGGCCGGGCCGACTGCGTGCAGCGTCAGGAGGATGCACCACCACACGGCTGCACCCTCTCCTGAAGGCACTGCAGGCCAACCAGCACGGGAGCCAGCTGCACAGCAGACCCCCCATGTGGCAGGCACATCCAGGCGAGGGCCTGACACCTGCATTCCTTATTTTTTTTTTTTTAATTTGAAAAGCAGAGTGGCAGAGAAAGAGAGAGAGCGCTTCTATCTGCTGGTTCACCCGCGTGGGCGACAGGGGCCCAAGGGCTTGGGCCATCGTATGCAGCTCTCCCGGGTGCATCAGCAGGGAGCCGGGTCAGAAAGTGGACTGAGGAGCAGCAGATTAAGCCACCACCTGTGACGCCAGCATCCTGTCGCACTGTCAGTTTGAACCCCGGCTGCTCCACGTGTGATCCAGCGCCTCTGCTAATGCTCCTGGGAAAACAACAGTAGATGGTGCAAGTCCGTGGGTCCCCACCACCCAAGCGGGAGGCCCGGATGGAGTTCCTGGTCCAGTCTGGCTGTTGTGGCCATGTGAGGAGTGAACCAGAGCGGGGAAGGTCTTCCTCTAACTCCCCCTTTCAAATAAACAAACACATCTTAAAAAAAAAAAAAAAAAAAAGGCAAGCAAGCGAACTGAGCCAGCCCCTGGATATGGATGTCAGTGTCTGCAGCCACATTTCCAGCAGGCTCCCAGGTGATGTCGCTTGCCAAGGGCCGTCAGAGGGGGGTTTATCAGAAAGCACACCCCTGCGGGTGGGCAAGCGCAGACTCTCATCACCTCCTGGGTCTCGGGTCCTTTGTCTGCAAAGGCGGAGGGTAAGCCCTGCTCTGAGGTTCTTCCCCAGCTTTGAGATCTCAGGGCAGGGAGGAACGTTGATGGCCTGAAGCCTTCACTTCTTAAATCGGGGATTAAAGGGAAAGACAGAGCTGGAGGGAAGAAAAGGTCACAGAGGAGCTCCAGTGGACCAGACAAAAGGGGAAGAACTTACTTATCTCTGTGGGAATGCCAGACACAAACACAGAATGGCAGAGGCCACGGCTGTGCCACAGAACAAGACAGAGCCCAGGAATAACCCAAGTGTCCAGCAGCAGGGATTAACCGAATGAACTCCCACGGGAGTGCAGGCGAGTTAGCCCAGAGGCCAGGGAGCAATGAACTCCCACGGGAGTGCAGGGGAGTCAGCCCAGAGGCCAGGAGCGTCCGGGAGTGCAGGGGAGTCAGCCCAGAGGCCAGGGAGCGTCCTATACGTTGTTACTGAGGGCGCTCCAGGACATGGGGCTCAGGAAAGAAGCAGCGTCCAGAACAGTTTGTGTCTTCTGCTGCTCTATGAGTAAGAAATAAAACAAGTATTATATATAAGCAAGACACTGTTTCCAAAAAGGACAAGGAAGGTCACCTCGTTTCCTACAGGGGCGCAGGGATGGAAGTTAGCCTTAACACACCTCATACTGTAGGTATGGCCTGGTCAGTGCTTTAATTTAAAGAAGAAAAATATGTTAAGAAAAACACACACAAAGCAATGTATCAAGCTGGTGTCAAATGTATACACAAAAGCGTTATTTCACCTGGCTTGCAAACATCTTTTATGGCCATCACTGATGGTATTTATGCAAAGACTAAACAGCATTCAGCAGCAATGAAGGCAGTCAATGAACCACCTGGTGACAGCTGGGCAGGGAGGTGCCCCTCCTGCTGCCTGCTAGCATGCTGTTGGTTCTATGTGTCTGCATAATTTAAAAGCTAGCCTTCCAAGGAATCTTCTTGATCTGATGTTCACACACACACCTGCACGATCTGAGCAAGAACACAACACAGCAGAGGCGGCCATCAAGGCCATCCCTAGCACACAGGCCGTGGGGGAGTAGTTGGGGTACACCTGCCGCTTACAGCCCAGGAAAAAAACTCAGTATCTGGACAAATCTCCCGGTGTTCGGATACGTTTATATTAGCTCACTGTTTCCACAACAAAACTGCAGGGTGACTGCTATGCCCATGGATAGCTGAGGTAACTGACTCAAACTGACTCAAAGTCAAGTTCCTTTACCTCCAAGTGCGGGGCTTTTCATACCACCCCCTGTACCGACTCCAACAGAGCAGGGGGCGGGGCCAGCAATCTCAGGTAGTATTCCAAGGCCTCCTACCAGTTTTCTGTTTTACACCAAAACATACCCGTGTTTCTTTGGAAACAGAAACAGTATCATGAGTAAGTTATGAGCAAATAAAGACTCAAGGGGCACTGTGTGGCCTCACGGCCTCAGGAGCCACAAGTCCATGTTCTTGTCTGCAGATGTAGAATGACAGCACGCTGCCCACCACCCAGATGCCGCTCGAGGCCCGGTGAGAAAAACAGGCCGCGTCCGTCTGTCCCACTAGCACACTGCCGGTAGCACGCCCAGCTGACGGGATTTCAGCTGGCACCCACAAACACACTTCCTGTGGATGCAGCCGCTAGCCATCAGGTGGGCAACGGCTCGTAAATCAACATCCCATCATAGGGTTTGCTGCTGTTCCGGATTATTCGGGCACATTGTGCAGAGGCGTGCTCTGCGGCTCTCCTGGGCAAAGGGCTGGGATGGGCAAGCCAGGGACACGGCACAGACTGCTTTCCAACAGATGACGGACAGTGCCATGTCCGCTACATGGACGGCAGTGACTTAGCTTGTGTGTGCACAGAAGCACCCGGTGCACAGCACCGAGGGGCCCCGCGCCCCTACACCGAGTCTCCCCTATTCGGAACATCCGGAGTTGTCCATTTGCCATAGCTCATGAATCAAGGTTGACTGCTCACAAATCGGTTCTGTATTCAGACCTCCTCCGTCTTTCCCTAATGCGTGCTTCCTCCTGTTCCAAGGTGCAATTTGGGTTTTCTTTCCATTTAAAACTCAAACACGGAAAGGCTATTATTTCAGTGCACGTAACAAATGCAAGCCTATCAGAACCCAATCACGCTTGGCCAGGCATCCTAAGCCGTGGAAGGCAGCAAGTGTTGGATGCGGTAGCAGGTGGGGTCGGCTCTTCCACAGGAACCAACAGGCCCAGCCAGGCCACAGCCGCAGGAGCGCAGCCTTAGAGAAAGGGCACGTCCAAGGATGCACCTGCTGTCGGGCGTGGGCGGGCAGCGAGCGGGGGCAAGAAGACCACCCTTCTGGACAGGGGTTTTAATTCTCACACCAACTCTGTCACGTCACTGGAATCAGACCAACAAATGCCTTCCCTGGCTCTGAAACTCAAAGCCACCTGAGCCACGAGGCCATTCCCAGGGTTAGTGTGATCTGGTGACCGTGTCAGCAAGGTACACAAAAGCTAACCTTGAAGGTTTCCAAGCTCCAAGAGCAAAGCTGCTGACAATAAAAGGCAGCAGGAGTGAGCACACGATTCCCTGGCCAGTGAGTTAATTAAACAGGCAACAAGTGCCCCAGTCTGAGACAAGGGAGGGCTCCATCACAGTGGGTGGGAAAGGCAACCTTTCGGGCTGGCTGCCTTCACTCCGAAGAGAAGCCATCAACTCCAACTCTGAGGCGCCCTTCTGCTTCCCAAACTCCACGGCGCTTCCTGGTTCCAGGCTCCCACAGCACGGCCCCAGGAGCAGCAGAGGTGGCCCTCGCCTGCCCCTGTCGCAGAGGTGAGGAGGTGGCCATGGCCGTGGCCCTGGCCGCAGCCTTGAGACAGCCCCCACCCCCCGGCACCCCACACTGGCAAGGACAGATGCCACTCTGCAGGAGGTCGGTGCCAGCCAGCTGTCCAGTCACTTCCAGCATGTCATTGTCCACTTTGCTGTGTTCCAACAAGGCTCTGTCAATTATGTGCCTGAAAATCCACCCTGTAACCTTAAAGCCATGCTGTCTCCTTCACACACTCCACCAGGCTCTGT